TATATTCTGTAGGCCTCAATGTTCAATCTGCTGAGTCAGATTTGATCTATACAGTTCACAGCAATACAAAGTGGAAGAACCTCAAGTACAACATTACTGACTGTGGGGTTTCTTTGACATCTTTTAGGGACAAGTACTATGTTGGTACCAAGCTTGAAGATACAGTATTGGCTGGGAAGAGACTGAAGTTTATGATGAATGTTGGTCAAATGGTAGGTCATGGACAAGCTGCATATGGTGGGAGTTTTGAGGCTACTTTGAGAGGGAAAGACTATCCTGTGAGAAATGACTATGTCAGTCTTACAACAACAGCACTTTCCTTAGATAAAGAGATGGTATTGGGTGGAGGTTTTCAGTCAGAGTTTTGTCCCTTCCGGGGTACTAGGCTCTCTGTCAATGCCAATCTAAACAGTCGGAAAATGGGGCAGATTTGTGTAAAGGTAAGTAGCTCTGAGCACTTGGAAATCGCATTTTTTGCAGCCATTTCACTTTTGAAAGCACTGTTTCGTAGAAAGGGAATTGAAGACAGAAGCATAGAAGCATTAGAGCAATGATAAACTCGAACTTTCTGTTTTCGCAAGATTCCATTTGATATTCCTTTCAGAGAGAAAGGTGTTATGTCGGAGCAAAATCTATTTGGAACTAAGCCTCAGGCCCGGTACCGCAGCTGCGAGAAACGCAGAAGCCATTTTTTTTCCAGTTCCCTGGATTTTCTCTCAAAGTTTTGGATGCCCATTTTGGACGTGCTGAGCGAAGAAATTTAGGCCAGGGTGACCTTTAGGTCGTGTCACTTGGTGCCCAGTTGAGGTAGCACCTTTCATACACAGGTTTTTTTTTTTTTTAATCGAACTGCAGTAGAAAGAGTTGTACAGGAAAGTAAGTGATTATATTTGTGATTCATTTACAGTCTAATTAGAAGTTTGAGGAATCATAATCCCTTTTCCCTTTTGGTCCTTGCATCTTACATCGCATGTTCAGATAGTTTTGGTTAATTTCAATAAATACTGACACCTTATATCTTGACATGTTTGCTCTCGTTGCTACTACTGCTGCGTCTCTTGGACTATCTCTTAGACTTATCTTTTGGAATAAGATTTCAGAAATATTATAGAATTATTAGTTCAGGAGATGATGCAAATTGTATTAAGATAATAAAAACTTCAATTTCATATGAAACTACTTACATGTGATTATTGGTTTCACTTTTTCCTGAACTTGCTTAGAATTACAGAAATGGAATTGACTCGTAACTGGAAAGTTGTATTAACGAGCAGTTAATTACAGCAAGAAAAACCTCCATCTTCTGCAGGAATCTGAAGCCATTGTAGCTTGTGATAGAAGCAGTCGGCATCTTTTTTCCCCCCTTCAATTTGGCAACAATTGAATAATTGACTGGTACAATTTATAGAACTTTACCTTTCCAGCTAATGCACTTAATGTTGCCTTGCTTGCTTGAATTTCTATTCATGTCAAAAATCTGTGGGTGGTGGAACCCTCTTAAATTGTCAGTACTGATATAATTTCGTCAAATGACAAAGATATATAATGTGGTCTGAATTATTTAACTAATAATTAAAGAACTTTTAACCCAATAATTATCTTAAATTAGTTAGATATTTAAGTTTCAGTAAAAGAAATTAAGAGTTGGGTTTGAAATTTTATAAAAAAAAAATGTAGTGATAATGAGAATAAATCATAAGTTGGCACATACATGTAAAGACATATATACATACATACACCTTGAATTATCTCACTATCCCAAGAATCTTTAGAATTTGTCAGTACCCAGATAAAATTAATTGGCCTAAACCCTGAGCACAAGAAGAAAAGGTTTCTGATAAACCCTAAACATTGTGGTCCTACTCCCTCTCCCATTTCCTCCTGCAATTTCTCTTATTAGGATAAAAAATAAAGTGAGCAGGACCCTCATCTCAGATTTCCAGAGTGAAACAATTGGGAAAATGCAACCATTTTACATATGATGTATATATATATATATATATATATATATATATATTTATATACACACACATATATTTAATAAATTTTAGCAGCATGTGGTTTAATTACCCCCCTCTCTTTTTTTTATTTATGTAAGTATAATAAGATGTTCTAATAAAAACATACAAAAATACAAATAACCAAATTCAAAATTATAATATCTGAGATAAAAAGGTGACAACAACAATATTCAGCCAAATACTTTTTTTGTTCTCTCTCAAACAGACAGGGGGGGGTATTATAAAATTAAGAGAAGAAAATTTCTGGTCGGCGAAAGAGCATGTTCCAAAAGCCAAGGGGAAGATTTCTCAGAAGATCCTAATTCTTACCCGCCAATTGCCAAATCCCAGATGGTCTCCCTCCCTAAAGCTTCCTTCCAAAACCATGCTCCACGAACCCCTCAAAATCTTTTTCTTGTCTTAATCCAACTATCATTATACAACTCTTTTCATAAGAAGAAGAAGAAGAAAAGAAAAAAAAAAGGGAAGAGTAGAGATGAAAGATCAGATTAAGCAAATTCAATATTCGCAAACAATAATGTGTTTTTCTTTGCCAATGCACCAGTTTAGAATTAAACCTTCAAAATAAAAGGCTTTTCACCACAAAAGTTGCAAAAAAGTCTGCAACTTTCATGGATCCGTTCCATAACACCAAACGCATGAAAGGATGCCTTTAAAGAAAAGGGCCAAAGCAAAACGGTTATTTTCCATATCCAGAACTGAATTTTTACCAATGATTCTTCTATTCCCTATAGATTTGTATTTACAGTATTACTTCATCAACTTCTTCTTCTTCTTCTGCTGCTGCTGCTGCTGCTGCTGCTGTACTAGAACAATCAATAAGACCCAGAAAGGAAAAAGGGGGCAATTTCCTATTTGGCAATTATATTTTCAAGGGGAAGATCCCCACAAGACCTCAGCAAGAATTGTGGCAGCCTCAGCATCAGAAAAACATGCCTCCCTCACTCTCACCAAAATCTCCTGCTTGAATTCCCTCTTCTCCCTCTGCCTCAATCCCTCTCCAACTTCCAATTGCACTGCAAATCTTGCTACACAGCTAGCTAATGGGTAAGATTCTAACAACTTACTACTACCCCCTACCTCTCTCCTCTTCTTATCATTCCCATTAATCAAACCTCTGTTTTCGTACTCACCAATCAAATCCCCACCAAGTTCTGATCTTTGCAACTCCACAAGCTTTTTTATCAACCCTTCTTTCAGCATGGCTTCTACGGCCTCTCTGCGCCCGAAATACCCAATTTCGAGGATACAGTCCATGGCCAAGACTCGCATTTCCATGTCCTTGCTATCCAATAAGCTTATGATTTTGGGTATCTCGCCATGGGAGACCATCTCGTCCACAAACGGAGATTTTATCAATTTGATCAATGCACAGAGGACTTTCATCGAATGGGTGGTACCTATCTTCAAAAGTGCGTGGATAGTGGCACCCATCAAGACTTGACCCACGAAAACATCCTTGTTGAATCGAATCAAAGCCGCTATGCACCGAGCCGCGTGCTCCCTGACCTTATTCCGGCTATTATGATCGCAGAGAACCGACTGGAGCGAAAGGAACAGCTTCGATTTCAGCACAAGACTCTGCAACTCACGATTAAACCCCTGAGAAACCCGGTTCTCAAGCTGCGACAAGTGTTGAATCAACTCCTCTTCACTACTAAATATCCATTCCTTGAGAGCCTTCGTCAGCGTCTCGATGCTCTCACGGTCGATCCACGCTTGAATCTCTGACTCGATCAACCCCGCGACTCGGGAAATAGAGTGAGTCGATAACCGACGAGTCAAGAACTCTCTGAGACCATACCCGCTCGATCCCCTCAGAGTCTCCACAAGGGCTTTGAGGTTAGTAAGATGGTGAGCGAGAGTAGAGAGACGCGGGTCCCTGGACAGAATGGTATCAGACTCGGTCTGAAGCTCAAGCAGAGCTTTAATGGCGGATGAGTCGGAGTCGTCGGAATCAAGAGCGGGATGCGTCTGTAACTCGCGGGAAGCTTGTTTTAGAGCTTCAAGAACCTTCAGGACTCGCGGTTTGTCTTCCTTAGCCGGGTACTCCTGCTCCATGGATTGTACT